CTAGGTAGACCAAATCAGAGCAATGAGGACAACGGCTGGTTTTTCCTCATGAGTTTTCAAACGACACTTGGAAATTGATGGTCTTGCTCCAAGTACAGTGTTTTCGGGTCAAGTTTCCGCCATTCGAGCGTGAAAACAGGAAACCATTGTCAAGAACAGTCAGCCCGAATCCAACCTTTGAGCATGATCCCAAATGCAACTAACAGCAACTTTCCTATCAACGGAAGCTACCCCGTCAACATGGCTCTTTTTAACCGATGAGGGGTTACTTCTGCTCAAGGGGGATTCCGCAGCGTCGTTTCTGTGGGGGTTGTTTGGATCGTGGTGAACAGTGCCGTACCAATTTTAATACTCAGAAAAATATATATATAAAACACGCACATATATGTATACATATGTATATACATCTATAAATATATATATTCGCTGCTTTTTAACGTTTAATGTCTGATTTAAGCCAGGCTAAGAATTTTGAAGTGGTCAAATTTTCAAAGTTGGTGCAAATGTGAGAGTGCATGGTCATGGACGGTAATTGTTTCGTTTGTCCCCTTGTTTGAGCGTAGAGGCAGAACCTACTGAGCCAGAAACCACGGCCGTCGGGTGTTCAACCCCGAGACCGTTAGGGATGGAGGACGGAACTATCCCCGATGAACGGATCTCAGCGTCCAGTTACAGGGACTGTCCGGGCTCCTGTTTGGCCTTAGATGCACGCCTCAACAGTAACCAGCGATGGGCACCTAAGAGGTACTATCAAAGGGAGACGATACACCCTTACAGGCCTCACTCGCATCCCAATATATACATCCTACAACCAAGCGAAACATTACTGTGTACATGAGAATAGGTAATACAGAAACGCGATTTATGCGCGACCTTTTAGAAAATTTCATGGTCTTAGATTTTACAATGTAGTTGACAAAATGCGAGGGATGATGGTAACGTCGATGAGCCCGACACCTGCTGAGAGTAGACAGACGAACAGGAATGGGACTTGACCCGTTAACAGCAGAGGTCTATTTTAATCACATTGAAAAGCTTAATATATACACACACGCAAATCAGATTTTAGCCCTTTCCCGACAATTCCGTCAGGAATTTAAGTGGAGTTAGTGTAAAAGAGGTGACTATCGCGCTGTAATCTTTTTTGTCGCTTTATTCGTGTTTATTATCTTCATCATTTGGACAAGGGGAGTAGGGCGTCTATATCTATTCAAAAGCTTAGCTTTACTCCTGTCGGATTTGGATTGCTGATATTTTATTGTTCTTCATCCAATTGCCCTCTGTGTACGTAGCAACAAAGGCTCCTGGATCGAGGTTGACCTCGCTGTGAGTACACTGGTGTCTGGCGCCATCACGCAAGGAGGCCCAGGGGGCTGGTGGTATGTCAAGAGATACCTTGTGTCGTATCAGAGGCAACACTCATCTGACCGTGTACATGTGACAGATGGAAACGGGGAAACCAAGGTAGAGAGACATCAACTTGCTCTTGTCCGAAATTGATCAATCCTTCGCAATCTGTCATTCCTACTTCTTTTGTGTTTTCCTTTCCTTGAGTTTGCATTGTGTATAAAATG